TGGGTGAAGGAACATTGTCATCATTTGAAATCATTAAAATAACAGCAGTATTAAAATGCAATATCTGAAAAGTGTAACTGTTTTCGGTCACCATAAAGTGCTTACGGTAAACCACAAATTTAACTTCTGTAAATATTTAATCCGGTTTTAATCAGACCTGTAATTAAGGTCTTGACGTCTGTACACTAGATGGCAGCAGCAGTAAAAATAAATGTGATGTTTTTAGGCTGTTTTTGGTTTTGTATAAAGCTTTGGCTGCTTTAGTTTAATTTTTTTTTTAAAGATTTAATTTTTTGGGGGGGGAACCCATGTTTAAACATGCCACAAAAATTAACTAAGCAAATACTTCTAAATATAAGTAACGTTTGATATTCTGCAATGTTTAATTTATATAATATTTGAATGTTTTGTGTAGAAAAACAACGTTTTCTAGTCCGATAAGGCTAATACACCGTGAGCGTATTGCAGGAGGGCCGCCAAAATTAAAAGTTATCTTTTTAAAAATGTCATTACGTAAGATAACTTTATAAGAGATTGTGAAAAGATGAGGTACATTTAAACCAAATACATATAATAAATATAAAAAGTCTTAGACTGACAGGAAAACCGGTTATTCGGGTTCACCAACCGAAAGAAAACTAAACCCTGGCCTTCAACTTTCCAGCTCAGTCATTCTTATGACCGTCATAAAATCTGGAATATAAATAGAGTCAAGATGCTGTCATTGAGAAACATGAATCACGTCCTGTTGATAAGACCTGTCATTGGCTTTGGTGAGCGTCTGCAGAGAACATAATATTTGTAATGGAAATGTAAGTGGAATTACACAAGTAGCTACTTGTTGATTTGATTGAAAGCAATATAGTAATTAGCTTATCTGGTTAAGTTCTCTGTGCTAGGCACTGCTGAGATAATAAACCAGGACAAGATCATGAGGTTACAGGAAAACACCTCAAAGATAGCGAGAATCCTCAAGAAAGTGATAAACTGATTGATGAATGTTTCATGGTGTTGATTAATTTTCTACTGGAGTCGAGTCAGCTTCATTGATCACGTTACAGTTTGCGTCACAACCTTGTTTGTGTGTTAATTTACATAGAATTCGAGAGTTTGATTACTTCAGTTTTTCAGTCAGTCAAAAGTCAATTTATCTGACTGATTTTCTTTAGATCAATTAACAGCCAGACTATTTGATTTCTGCTGAAAGTCTGAAAAGAGTAAAAGGCAAACAAATAAAAACTAGAAGGTAGTACAGATAGAAAAGGAGTAGATTAAGTCTGAGTAGAGGTAAAATCACTAACACACTGGTTTCAGAAACCACACAAAAAATTGGTGTAGAAGCAATTTTCACTCAGAAATTGCTAGTGAATTTACAAAGAAACGGCAAGTAACACATTGGCTTAAAAGTGAAATTTTGAAGTAGAAAAACTGAAATTGTTGCGTTTTCCTTTTTAATTTAATTTGTTATTGGAATAAAACATACTCCAATCATTTTTTATTTACAACTTACATCCCCCAATTTTTTTTACAGCGCAGCAGCAATATTAATAAAACGCCAATGTTCAATAAACAGTTAGATGTTCTAAAAATAATTGAATTTATTTGTAATATAGTAACATATTTTTACAATGACTTTGGATGTGACACATTGAAGCACGAAGATTCAGAACTGTTTGCAAACAGACAAAAAAGCGGAGGCTAGAGTGAGTGGAGGCCGGCGGCTTCAGTGAGCGGAGACTAGAGTGAGCGGAGGCCGGCGGCTTGAGTGAGCGGAGGCTTGAGTGAGCGGAGGCCGGCGGCTTGAGTGAGCGGAGACTAGAGTAAGCGGAGGCCGGCGGCTTGAGTGAGCGGAGACTAGAGCAAGCGGAGGCCGGCGGCTTGAGTGAGTGGAGGCTTGAGTGAGCGGAGGCCGGCGGCTTGAGTGAGCGGAGGCTTGAGTGAGCGGAGGCCGGCGGCTTGAGTGAGCGGAGGCTTGAGTGAGCGGAGGCCGGCGGCTTGAGTGAGCGGAGGCTAGAGTGAGTGGAGGCCGGCGGCTTGAGTGAGCGGAGACTAGAGTGAGCGGAGGCCGGCGGCTTGAGTGAGCGGAGGCTTGAGTGAGCAGAGGCCGGCGGCTTGAGTGAGCGGAGGCTGGCGGCTTGAGTGAGCGGAGGCTAGAGTGAGCGGAGGCCGGCGGCTTGAGTGAGCGGAGGCTAGAGTGAGCGGAGGCCGGCGGCTTGAGTGAGCGGAGGCTAGAGTGAGCGGAGGCCGGCGGCTTGAGTGAGCGGAGGCTAGAGTGAGCGGAGGCCGGCGGCTTGAGTGAGCGGAGGCTAGAGTGAGCGGAGGCCGGCGGCTTGAGTGAGCGGAGGCTAGAGTGAGCGGAGGCCGGCGGCTTGAGTGAGCGGAGGCTAGAGTGTGGGGTGAGCGGAGGCCGGCGGCTTGAGTGAGCGGAGGCTAGAGTGAGCGGAGGCCGGCGGCTTGAGTGAGCGGAGGCTAGAGTGAGCGGAGGCCGGAGGCAGGTGGCTTGAGTGAGCGGAGGCCGGCAGCCGGCGACTTGAGTCGTCCTCTTTTGGAAGGCCAAACAAAGTAGTTTCGCTTTCACAATGAAACACACGGCAACAACAATACTACAGCGAGAATAAAAGTTACGCCTTATTTCTTTGCGTGAACATTTGGGTGGTGTTATGCAAATCTTCCCACGTTGTGATGTAGACATGTGGGGGCGTGTTAGAACGAGCCGTTTTAGGTAGGCGTGGTTAACTTTTAACTTTTATAAAGAATATCTCTTTGGATTTGAGACTTTAGTCTTTGCAACTTTACAGATCTTCTTTATGCACCAAGAGCTTGTAACACTCAAAAGAGAAAGGAAAAATTGAAATAGCATCATATGACCCCTTTAAGACACTTGGCAGATGATTGTAGAAGTGAAAAAAGTTAGTAGAAGTTTAAGTTCATGAAAACATCATGTAAACAAAAATGTGAACATTTAAATGTTAATATTTTATATGTTAAGAGTTAACAAGTTAAATAAATGCATCTTCATGGGATATAGTTCTCCCAAAAAATGGTCATTGTTATCATTTACTCCCGTTTCAAACCTGTATGATTGACTTTCTTCTAGGGATGCACCGATAGGATTTTTTTTGGCCGATATGATACCGATTTGAACAAACAACTATTGGCCGATACCGATGTTGGTCATGTGCATAAAGCAGGGCTTAAAAACAAGAAAGAAAAAAGATATGTTCACTCCGAGCAGAATCGGAATTTGAACGTTTCTGTAAAGTACATCGTTTAATTTATGTCTTGAACAATCAAATGTATTAAATAAAAGAAAACACTGTCAATGCAATAAAAACATTAAATAATTTTTTTCAAGATATTTAAAAATGTTTCAGCATGGATAAAAAAACGCTACTCATATAAGCGTTAATTGTGAGAGGGAAAAAAATGCCTAAATTAGTAGGCTGTCCGTTGCATTTTATTATTACATTCAGAAATAATATAGGCTAAAATAATGGTAAATAAAAGCAAAATTACAAACACAATTAGGCTATTTTAGTTCCCTTCTCTCCACAACAAATCCTCTAAAGTTGTATTTAGGATAAATATAAGCGTCAAGCCAAAACAAATTAATTTAAAAACGAAACTGAAGCCTACTGAAGAGAAAACCGTTGGATTATGCAACAGACATGCAACTTGTCTCCATGCAGTTAATTAATAAACCATCGGTATCGGTCCTTTTCATGCTATTTCCGATATGCCGATGGCTTTAAAATAATAAAAAATCGGCCGATAAATATCGGCGGCCGATACATCGGTGCATCCCTACTTTCTTCTGTGGAACACAAAGATATTCTGAAGAAAGCCAGGAATCAAAACTGCACAGACATTTCTCAAAATACCTTCCTGTGTGTTCTACAGAAGAAAGAAGAACGATTTGGAATGACATGATGTTTTTTTTTTATATTTAACAATGAGGAAATAGAAAGAGTGTATGAAAATAAATTTTTGGGTGATATTACTGACCATAAGTTATGTTTGGAAACCACATGTTAATCATGTAAAAACAAAAATGTCCAAATCCATTGCAATATTAAATAGAAAACATATTCTGAATGAAAAAAACTTTATATATATACTGTATTGTGCGCTCATAGTTCCATACATTACTTATTGTGTGGAGGTGTGGGGTCATACATATAAAACTGATATAAATTCAATATATATGTTACTAAAGAAAGCTATAAAGATTGTTAAAATGGTTGATTATTACGAACCAACAAACAAATTGTTTATTAAATTACA